TGTTTTGTAGCAGGTGTATGAGAAGGATGACTCTCCTATCACATACTCCTTACGAGTCTCTACCAGACACATGAGGGAGCATGAGGGATGATCCATCTTGCAGTGGTGGAGGTAGCGATTGGATACCAACCCGGACTCTTTAGTGCTGGGTGCAAAAGGGGACCTCTTGCTTGAAAGGAGAGAAGTGCAGGGTCTCATATTCTTGATTCAGACTCCTTTCTCATACCTCACTAAGGCTGGAATCATATGACTGATTTATTTAATGATTCATGATCGCATACCGATGCTAAATGTTGCAAATCTCTATCATCCATATAATATCCTACTCCTTCATGTAGCAAAGTTAATGAGCATGAGATTGAGGAAGGGTTGTGATGGGAAGACTGTACGACCACGGCAGGAGAGAGAGAGAGAGAGCATAATGTCTGAGTTTAGGGTGGTGTGCAAAGATGGTTGCCTCACACATCCTTGGTTCCCTGGTTAAGGGCAGTGGCTAGCTAGCCTACATGAAGTCTGTTCTATCTTGAGTTAATCAACTTTGATTTACAAATAACTGCGCAACATGAGCAGATTGGCTTTGGGCTTGTATCAAAGGAAGGGGAGAATGTGATACATGTATGGTATCTAGGAGAGGGGGAAGAGAAGGGAGGAAAGAGAGGGGAGGAAAGAGACTTGGGATTGAGGGAAGGAGGGAGGGAGATGGAGAGAACGAGGGGGTGGGGCAGACAAGAGAGGGATGGAGAGGGGGTGGGGCAGACAAGAGAGGGATGGAGAGGGGGATAGGGCATAAAAGTGAGAGAAAGAAAGAGAAAGAGAGGGAGCAAGGGAGGGGATGAAAGGATGGATTGAGGGAAAAGAGAGATAGAGAGTGAGAGAAGGGTGGGAGGGACAGGAGAAAGAGAGGAAGAGAGAAAGAGAGAGAGAGAGAGATAGATGGATAGAAAGATACGGAGAGAGTGGTATGATATATGACTTCATGAGTCATAGTGAGTGATATATTAATTCTTAAATATGAATACCCGATAATAAAAGTAATTCAACCCAAAATTTAGATAAATCAAAAGACAATTGCAAAGATATCTAAAAAAAAACAGAAGGGAAAACAAACGTAGAGGTAGACAACCATACAAGCAGACAACTTCATTTTATAAGTAAAACAAAGTACAGATTTCTTTTCATCTCTCTAAAAGAAAGAAACTTGACAGCCCTTTCGATCTATCATTTCATTATGATTTCAATTTAATATAACATGCAATGTTCACAGTTCTATACCCTAAATATCTCACGCTTAGTTTTTCAAAAAGTTAACATTGCGGTATTAAGGAAATTCAATGTTGCTATTTCATGTTCAAAAATGTTTGGATGAAGAAAGTGAAGAAGTGACTGACTAATAACCAATTAACCTCCTGCAGTCTTCGGAGGTCTATTTGTCAAGTATTTGACCAGGCATGACACCACAACTATCTATCAGGGTCAAGGTCATCAGTGTGCAGGTATGACACAAGGGATGAGCTTCATTAACCCCCTTACTACCAAGCTGGAAGCATTTCAAACGTGTGTATGTACAAAACAGGGATGTACATTGATATACATGAAGGCAGGGTCCATCACGGACAAATAGTGGGTAATTTCACGAACTTGACCAAAAAAACTCGAGCTACATTGTAAACTATGTTTGAGCCACTTGTCTTAACTAGCCAGCTATTTATTGATTATCTAGTTTCCCTTGATCATAATTACTAAAAGTATATATCTTGGGCTAATTAAAATGTATCTTCTGTGATTTGAAAAGTTGCAGTGGGGATAAGTCAGAAGTGGTAAGTCAAAATATGATAAAGGAAGCAAAGGATATGATACAATAATAAGAGTTTACCCATGTGAATAAACCATCAAACTGTCATAATCAAATCATCAAAGTGCAATCGTGCTTCAATCTTAACATCAGACTTTAACTCTGTATTGCATGTACATGAGAAAACTAACCAATCACACGTCCAACTTAACATCACATGACTAGAACCAACCAATCACATTTCATCCTTGATCATCACATGACATGATTATGGTTCATTACTATCCAGACTGTGCTCTGAGTTAGAAATGACTTGTGGCATTTGATTGTTCCTAGGTTAGGATGATTGAGATGTTCTAGACTAATGGATGGATGGATGGATGGATGGAAGGACTGGAATAAAACAGACATCTTATCCTCCCCTATGGAACTCCCTCCTACAGCCTGTCTACACTATCAATTAGTACCACGTGTAAAGAATGATGAGATAAATTTTCTCAAAACAAAATGTGCAGAGAGACCTCTTTATCGTGTATTATTGTTCTTTTTGACTAAAGAATTGGGATTTACACTTGTAATTTACGCACTTTACATTATCAGGATGATATAAGAAATATAAGATTCATTTTGAACATGAAATTAATTCAATACTCCTACTTTTACTGGTATTCTCAGGCTTATGCAAAGTGTTAGGATCTTACGTATATAATTGGTATAATTGTGAAATGCATGAACAGAGCTTATTCCGACTGTTTGGAGCCTCAAGGGGATTTACCATGAGTAAAATGATAGGGGCTAATACCAAATATATAATACATTTTATATCTAACAAACACTTATAATAAATTAGATTCTTTATCCAACGACACAGATTAGATATATTGTATATAACACATAAAATGATCATTCAGAGTAACAAGGATTTAAAGATTTTGAAACATAACAGTCTATGTCTGGGACTGAAGCTAGTCAGCAGAGTTGAAATAGTAATTCAACATCTTCAGTAGATAAACATGATCGAAAATGAATTTATAATATCATTCTCTATAATTAATTATGTAGGTCCAATCAATAATTGAGCGTACAAAGGATAAGTGTGTTTCTTGAGTATAGCTTGTGGGTGGTCACAATTATTTCCTCCTACCCACATGGGACCTCATTCCAGGATCATCATATCCTCATCAACAGACTCAAGACTAATTGATATCAAAATGTTTGGCCTCCTAATAAACAGGTTAATTGATCCATGGTGTTGGTGATTATTGCTATAGCCTTGTTTATCCTAACCTACAAAATGGGGAAGCTGGTTTCTCCATTAAAAATAATATACCTGTGTAGCGTAGGGATTTAGGGTATAGCCTCTTCCTACCCATGAACCCATTTAATTGTATTTATAGGAGAATACTAGATGATTAGATATTAAAACAGATGCAATAAGTATGTTTAATACTTTCCCTGATCCAACAATGACATGTTAAGTTTAGAATACTGGTAATGGTTTGGAGCAATAACATACTTTAAAAGGTGCTAAAGAATAAACAAATACATGTACTTATAAGAAGATGGTAATGAATACAAAAAAAATAGTGATGCGGAATGTTAGTTAAGCATTATCCATAAATATTTCTTGATTGAACCCTACAAACTTATCACTTATATAACACTTTCTGCACTGACGATTTTAAGGAAGAAATATGAAAAGTAAGGTAAAGATATGTGGGATCAAAGATTCCTATTAAAAGAATATTTATGAAAAGACAAGGAAAATAAAATAAGTAGAAGTAAGATAAAAAGGGCAATTACTCTTTGTAAAATTAGATGAGAAAAAAAATAATTATATGAGAAACAAAATAAAACCTATACTGACAAGACTTTATTACAAAAAACTACTATATTCAAAATTTAAACAAAATTGAGACAAGATCCAGGAAAAAAGTTCCACAGGTATATTCTAATGTATAGCCAATATTTTACATAAAAAATGAAAAAAGAAAAAAGAAAGAAGAAAAATGATATCTGTATATTATCATTGCTAAGGTGAGAGAACTCCAGACAATCTGTGTTATGATGAAAAAGTAGAAATGTCAGAGAGCAGCTGGATAAATCGATTTAGAGGACTGCATCCTCTAGACACTAGGGTAACCCCTCCCTGAACACCTACGCTCTCATCATCATCATCATACCACTGAGACTCAACGCTCTAATTAACAGATTCAACAACATTCTTATATCAAATGACACGTTAGAAGTCCCATGGGATCAAAGGGAAGGTGTAAACAGCTAGGGCAGACATGCTCTCCTCCATATTAACCTGGAAACTGGAAAGGTTAATACTGCTTCTCCATGAAACTTCTCTCTTCTTCCCATACTACTCCAGCTGCTCACTTCTCTTCTCTATCATATTTTATCAAGTGTTTGTTCAGGCAAACTTTCAGAAGTTGGACTTTGTTGTCACTAGAGGGCAGCATTGCAGAAAGATAAATCTCCCTCATAGAGTATCCATTTCAATGCCCCTGCATCCAGCTTGCATGATGAAAACCAACACACCTACTGGGGTAATACTATATTCATAGCTAACATGCTGTTCATACTGAAGTATACTGGTTCAATGTATTACTCAAAGCTGATACTGTTTAATACAGGGATGACTGTTTCCCCCAAATACAAATGCAGTTTCCTTCATCATATGTGTTAATAATATTATCTTATGCAACGCTACCACAACAGTATTAGTGCCAACGAAGAGTATCACAGGAAATAAACTTTTAAAACTTTTAAACTGACACATTGACTAAGGATAGTTAAGTTTGTCAGACATTAAAGAGCAATTAACTGCTATGAGTACCCAGAAGAGGCGGATACCAGTGCCATAAAAAAAGCCATCATCATCTTCATCAATATATCTTCACAGTCATCACAATCATATTTATCATCGTAACTATCATCACTCATCATCATGACAACATAATCCTTCTTCTCACAAATTTTATCAATTGCAACATCATTACCGGTACATTACTTTTGAAAGTGGTCTTAATTTATTTAGTCCACTGAATTTGGGAAGGTCTAGTGTCAACCACTTAAATCTAGATAAATATTTTTTTTCTAGAATGCAGCCCTATGACCGATTCCAGTCATCAACATCACATTACCTCCTTCTCCTCAAGCTCTTCACATCAACACAAATAATAATCATATGTGAACTCACCTCATCACATGAGGCACAGCGGGGCATTATGGATTCTGCATAGTGCCGTTCACAGTGGATCTGTCCATCCCTGAAGAAGTATCCTGTATCAACCAGTAGTTCTTCACATGTATTACAGGTAAAACAGAATGGATGCCAGCAGCAAGCCTCCTCCTCCATCTTATCCACAAAGATACCAATCTCTCCTGCTTCGATCTCTCCACCACACTTGAAACATTCCTGATAAAGAAACAAATCAATCAATTATAATAATAATAATAATAGCTCACATCTATAATGCACCTAATACTTTGTTTCTAGGTGCAGCACATATCATTACCCTAGTCATCAAATTCCTGCACACAATTTATGCACATTCTCCACTCCCTGGGGAGCATTTCGACCAATCGCCATTTTACAAGCGCTATTTGCTCATCCAACCACATTAACTTTCGCATCCTACCGGGTACCCATTTAACACCTGGGTGGAGAGTGGCAAATGTAGATTAACACTTTGCCAAAGGACATTAGTGGCTTAATCTAGAAAGTAACAAATAACAAGAGTCAATCACACATAAAATGTTCAAGGCATGTTTACAGTAAAACACTTCAAATTTATACATATCCACTCTGATATTAGGTAAAGATTAATTTGCAATATGGTTATGATGTTCTCTTTAGGTGATCTTAGAAATAGGCAAATTAGAGAAGAAAAGGGCATTGCTAATGTTTAATTGCACTGCCTACAACAATCACATTGCACTAAAAAATACAAGTATGACCTCCTATTTGAGAAGTTGCAAACAAATTTTTCAGAGCATTTTTAAAACTATTACTATGAAATTCCTTTCAGTAAATAAGACGTGATTATAAGTTGAGACATGTAAATGCTTCTCACCGTATCTTGAGGTAAATAGTCTTTGACTTTGCCGATCCCGAACGCTGTTTCATCTCGTAGCTCTAGGAATTGCGTGAAGCTTTCATTGGTTGCCGCATCACCGAGGAAGTGACAGAATTCTTCTGAGACATCTTGTTTGGGTATCTGAATGATCAGCTGCCTGTCTCGGTACTTCTCACCAGGCGTATGTAGTCTTGGAATTTGATTATTGGGTAATGAGTTCATGAAATCCTCAATCTACAAACAAAAAAGAGGATAGTAAAGAACTAATGAAATATTATGCTCTTACATGCTGCTTTAAGTATTGACTTGCATGATGATGTAGATATACAGTAGGTTTATGGTTGCACCATGTGTGCCGTAAACCTACTGCATATTATTCTCTTGTTTTACAGTAAAGTATTTTCAGAGAAAAAACAAAAAATCATCAGTAATCAAAAATGATTAAATCAACAAATTTTTCTCTTTAGCAGTCTTATACCCTCCCCCACCTCAATTATTGCCTGAAACACTTGAACCCTAAAGCTTGACTTACTGAACATACAGAGTAAAATGGACGAATGTAATTAGAAAAGGCTGCCTCCAAAAATGATTCAAGCTCTTTTCATTTATTCAATTCATGACAAATAAAACAATGTAAAGTGGGCTTCAGTGAAAATGATATGTCAAAAGACATTTCAATTTCCATTCCTATTGACCCCAGTGTTCTTCAGCAGATTTGTAGTTTCGTTAACCTAAAATTAACCCTAAATATGACATGGATTTGTGACAGCACAAAGACAAATAAAGAAAAGTGACAAAGAAAGAGAGAGAGGGAGGGAGTAGGGAGGGAGGGAGGGAGGGGGAGAAAGAGAGAGAGAGAGTACTTACCTTAGTAACAGATAGGCCTTGTGGTACCCATGAGTAGCCCAGGGCCAGAGCCTTCTCTTTAGTCCTCTGTAGCTGAGCATGGTCCTCAATTGGAATATTTAATCTCTCAAAAACAGTAACTAAGTTATCATGTATGATGTCATGGTCTTCTCTACCACAGTGGCATGATGCGCATGTACTCCTGCAAAGAGGGAGAAAAAAAGAGTAGAAAGAAGAATTTGTTAGTTATCCCACAAATGATTCTAGAGTTTGGTCCCCCAAAAAAGAAAAATTCAAAATTCAGCCTTGAATGGTAGTTGATAAAATGCAAAATGCTGCTTTTAGACCAGGGGTAGGATTTACATTTTCTACATAAACTTTTAAAAAGTACATTTTTTTTCATGTAATGAAATACTAATACACTAATACAAACTTTATAAAATAAAGATACAGGAAGAGAGAGAATGGGACAGCAACAGACAAATAGAGTTGGAGAGAGATGGGGAGGGAGAAAGAGAGAAAGAAAGAGAGAGAGAGAGAGAGAGAGAGAGAGAGATTTGAATATGAAAACTTCTCACCCTTTATCTTTTTTTTTGGGGGGGGGGAGCTGAGGACTCACAGAGTGATACAGAGAATGAAAATTGACAAATCTAGATTTAAATTGATATGCATTAGTATTATGTACAACCCCATTCCCTGAAATGATCAAATTAGAATGTTCTACCATATACAAACATGTATGAATGGGATCAAACAATGATATGTATACTGATGGTGTATGTGATGAACTTCAAGTATCTCTAAACTTAAGTAGAATAGTGCCCTCTATAGTTAAAACCATTGTATTTTTTATAAAGTACTTCAAGCTGCATCCTACATACTTTATACAAAGCCATAGTGACTGAGATATTGCTTTCTTTTCTTTGAGATATAGTATATTACATACTTCCTCAATATCATTTATAGATCAACCCAAGCAATGTACAGAAAATGGATAAATGTAGTAAAATAACATGGTACCAATACTCACAACTTGATTCTGAATCTATGTAATGTTTGTGACCTGTGTTTCATTTTTTTTATCCAGTATTATTATCAATATCATTATCAACTGCCCAATTTATAGACATACCTACCCTAATTATTCATGATGTTAATTAAATCATTATGAAATGTTGTACTCATGAGCTTACATTAATTTATTTGATAATGTGTAATGATTTGATTGTTATACAGTGTGTCCCGAAAAAAACTATACACTTTTGAAATGGCTGCCGAATAACAAATATATGATTCTAGGGGGAAAAGTTTTATATGTATGGAAAGCTCATAAACTCAACTTTCATATGACACCAACAAGTTTGAAAATAATTCATGCTTGGGTGAGCACTGCTCACTTTTGTAAAGGGTATGAAAATTAAGTTGTGCAGGAATTAGCCTTCCAATGTGTGAGAGGTAAATCCTTAGGAGCTTACAACATTGAGGGTAATATGATAAATTCATGATTTGCTGAGTGAATTTCATGGTTTATTAAACCAAACTTTTATGCACGGAACAGGAATTTCATTTTTCTATTGTAGCATTGTTACTTTCCCTGGTAGACTCAGTGGTGTGTTCATGAGAGTCAGGATGGGGTGATGGTACATGTTGTAATTTCCATGTTACAAACTGTTATTTTTTACATTTGTGACTTTGAATAAAAACCTTCATCCCACATTTCAGTTACCATTTACCTGAAGAATAAGTAGCCGACATCTTGGACATTCCTTTTTTATAACAAACCGTATTTGAATATTCGATTTACATTATCCCTACCTGGGTATTGAGTATATCAATGAGATGTTCAACTAATCTTACAATAATTGAAATGTGGGGTGAAGGTTTTTTTTTCAAAGTCACAGATGTAATAAAATAACAGTTTTTAACATGGAAATTACAACATGTACCATCACCCCATCCTGACTCCCATGAACACACCACTGAGTCTACCAGGGAAGTTACAGTGCTACAATAAAAAATGCAATTCCTGTTCACTCATGCATAAAATGTTAATCCCATAAACCAAACATTTCACTCAGCAAACCCAAACTCATCACAATTGATCATAAATTGGTCATATCATCCTCAATTCCGTAAGCTCCAAAGGATTTACCTCTCACAAATTGGAAGGCTAATTCCTGCGCAACCTAATTTTCATACCCTTTACAAAAGTGAGCAGTGCTCACCCGAGCATGAATTATTTTCGCAACTTTTGGTGTCATATGAAAGTGGAGTATATGAGCTTTCCATACATATATAACTTTTTCCCTAGAATCATATATTTGTTATTCGGCAGCCATTTCAAAAGTGTATAGTTTTTTTCGGGACACACTGTATATCAGACTCTACCGTTTCTTTGATTTTTTATTCCTTATTTCTACAATTGTTATTTATCTGTTTGTATTTTTATTTATATATGAAATCCAACCTCAAGTTTTGGTTGCAACAAAGAAAAAATGATAATAAATTAGTAAGGAAACACAAAATTATTTATCCTGATATATATGATAACATCCTCCTGGCTCGGCATCATATATTATATGATTGTTGAGTCATTTCATATGCCCTGTCTTCTGATTGTTTTTTTTATATTATATTTAGAAAGATATTTCTGTCCACATGTGGACATGGTCTTCCTAAATATCCTCCAATAAATAGGTCAAAAGACGTATTAAATAGAGTGCAAAAATAGAGCATTATGTAAAAAGTACCGGCCCTTTTCTCTGTTTGTTCTTTCTCCTTCCACTAGATAAACCATAAATATAAAACACATCAATATACACTCATGTCACGTCTGATGCTGCACTACAGACAGCTTCTAGAATGGCTCAAACATCATGCACAGGTGACACTAAATCCTCTGAAAACACACATTTATTGTACGTGTGACATCATTATGACATCACAGACAGCAAGAGTAAATAGAGAGGGAGAGAAAGGACACATCCTGTGAAGTACTTGATGAACTTTGTGTCTACAAAAACGCTAACCATTAATAATATATTAAAGCTCTTACAAGAGCAAATGTGTGGAGACGATAGTTAGGTTTTACAGTGGATTGATTACTTTCTGTTTTTAATCTACAGACCAGAAGAATATATCTTTTATTAAATGAAGATGCTTATCAGCCTGCTCTTATAGAAATAATTCACAAAAATCCATTTTGAGACAATATGAACTTTAACCTTGAGATATACATAATAAGGCCCTTGAAGGCCTATAATTTCTAATTGTTTGAGTCTTTAATATTTTGTCTATCCAATATACGACACTATTCTGTGTATCACCAATTAGCAATGACTTGGTCATTCCCACAGTATATAGACACCCATTTTACTAAAATACAAAATGCTCCTGATGGATATCCTTATTATTCTTAAAGCAAACCTAAGATGCAATCATGGGGTGTAAGATTGCTCATGGATGGATCACATTTGCTTTCTGATGTCATCTGATCTTGAAATAGGTTCTTAATTGCTTATGATCCATCATCCTCTGCTTACCCCAAATAAGAACTTGATTAAATCACTTCGTCGCCCCTATCAATATTCCTTTAAGGTCAAACTAATATTTGCACCATTCTTCACATAATGAATGTGAAGACATAGGAGTCAACCTAATTCAGAGTTTTCTTCCAAAAAGTAGAGATAACATAGATATTTCTTCAGTTTTCACCTAAATTTTATGATGAATTTATTACAAAATTGATTCTTTTGAATTGCATTAAATCCTTCGATCATTGGTGCCAATGAATCTATATAATGTATTCAGATAATCATATTATCAAATTCTACAATTGCAATTTAAATTTGTAAATACCTGCACAATGATATGCCCAGAGAGATAATTTATTCAATACATCAAAATTAAATATACCTAAACTCTAATTTGTATGCAAACTAAAATACATACAATTTGTAGAAACTCTAACAGACCTGCTAACAAGTTGCCAAAAAACTTCTGCAAGGATTCACTCCATGTTTAAGTGATCCTTTAAATGCATCCATCATCTTAACAACTCTTATGACATAAAAGATGATGTGTTTCAACGAGATATCACAAGATTGCTCTGATGAGGAGGCAGGGTATATCTGCTTCTAGAGACTATGAAAATAGTAACTAGAAGAATTTAATCCAATATACAGATCACCAAATCTCAACAAAGTGAACAAACCACAGAGGAATAAGAGATCTGGGAGCTTCACTCTCTATCGATCATGAGATATACTGGTTCATAAAATGAGGCAACTTCTAAAAAGAATTATCTTCTCAGTGAATGTTTAGCCAATTTTCAACCTGTTCTGATAAATGTTATTTGTCATTTACATACATGTTTATTAATAAAAACAAACTTTGTAAATACACAGTACTTCTAACAGTGATTCAAATTTACTTATTTTGTAAAAGGAGCATAACATTAATGTTGAAATTTAGACAAAAGAAGTGAAATTATCAAATAATTATTGCAGCAGTTTAGAATAATTGTTGCTTTGAACGATTCACCGAAGCAAAACATTGTAAACAAAGTAATGTGGAGTGACCAAATTGGAAACAAGATCTGTAAACTGTACAAATAATGTTTATTACATATTACATCAAAAGACTTTTCTTTTTAATTTCAATGTTTTGTACCTATCATAATAAAATTATGCCAGGAACATCATATCACTGCATCATAAATCACAAACAAGTAAAAATTGTAATTTGAAAACACAATACAATCATCTCTCATTCAATTCAATACAACACTCCATATATCTACACAGGAAGAACACAATTTCATGACACATATTCCACCACCATCCTATTTAAAAACTAACAAATCTGGGAGATTCGGCAAACCTCAAAGCAGTGTCTGAGAGACACCGACCTAATTCTTTTCTGGGTCCCTCTGGAAATTACATTCTTGCCAGCCTCGTTCTCTGAGTGAAGACTTCCAACAACTGCACCTAGCCTCAAATTTGCTTGATTAGTGCACACGTGGGACTAGGAGAGAATCACGGCCGGCCGGCCATGCTTAGGAAGTATGAAACCACCGGCTGTTAGATCAAAGAGAGGCTCTCGATCATCTTCATTACTTTGAGATACAATAAGACAGAAATAGTAACAATGTGCACAGAAAGGAAATGACCAAATGGCATTTCTGGTATGTTAATATTATGT